TTCCGCGCCCAGATCCTCGGGGGCCTGTTCCTCTATTTGGCGTACGCGGGTATTATGCTCCTGCAGCCCATCTTGATCCAGTCCATCTTGCAGTACCTCGCTGAAGACCCGGTCGTCCACACGTCCATGCACATCAACAACGGCTACGTGCTCGCGACGCTCCTCACGCTCCTCTCGTTTCTCTCGGTGACGCTCATTGACTATGCGCAGTACGCCAACACGCACACGGGCTGCAACGCCAAGTCCATTGCGATCGACATGGTCTTCCGCAAGACGCTTCAGCTCTCGGGATTCGCCAAACAAGAAATGACCACCGGCGAGGTCGTCACGCTTGCGTCCGTCGACGCCGAGCGTCTCTTTATGGGCTTTAGTTTTGGCTACTGGGCTGTCATCGGCCCCGTCATGCTCGTCGCTGTCTACATTATGATTGGCCACCAGCTCGGCGCGGTCGTCGGTGTCTGCGGCGGCGCCGTGATGCTTCTCTTCCTCTACGTTGGTTTTGTCTCGGGACGCAAGGTCGGCGAGGTCCGCCGCGATATCCTCAAGGTCCAAGCCGAGCGCGTCAAACTCACCAACGAAGTGCTCCAGGGCATCCGCGTCGTCAAGCTCTACGCGTGGGAGGCGAGCTTGGAGGCGCAGTTGGCGGCGATCCGCGACCGAGAGCTCGTGCTGCTCAAGGCGTACCAGACACGGCGGGTGTTCAACACGGTCGTGTTGTACATTGCGCCCGTCATCTCGCTCGCAATCTGCCTCATGGTCTACGTCGCTCTTGGCAATGAGCTCACGTCGCCTGTCGCGTTCACGGCGCTTGCCTACATGAACATTGCGCGGTTCCCGTGCACGGTCTTTTCCACCGCCGTCATGATGACATCCGAGATGGTCGCGTCGTGCCAGCGCATCAGCAAGTACTTGTCGTCCGACGAGGTCGCGACCTCGAGTACGCGCTTCTCTCCTTTTGTGTGCTGTAGCTCAATGTGCGCTAGGTCTCGCGATTCAACAAGGCCCGTCGACAGTCGAGATGACAGACGCTGCGTTCAGCTGGGCCGCGCCAGCGACGGTCTCGGAGGCGCCGCCGCTCACGCTGCAGAACCTGACGTTTTCGCTGACGCCCGGGAGCCTCACGATCGTGGTCGGCCCCGTCGGCAGTGGCAAGTCGAGTCTCGTGAGCGCGATCCTCGGCGAGATCCACCAAGTCGGTGGTGTCCGCCACGTTGTCGGCAACATCTCGTACGTCAACCAAGAAGCCTGGATCCAGCACGCGACGCTCAAGAAGAACATTCTCTTCCACTCCGTCTGCGACGACGACTACTACAACGCGGTGCTTTCTGCATGCCAGCTCGAGCCGGACCTTGCGATGCTACCGGACGGTGACGCGACCGAGATTGGCGAGCGCGGTATCAACTTGAGCGGCGGCCAAAAGGCGCGCGTGAGCCTTGCCCGCGGCGTGTACCACCGCAAGGCCGACATCTACCTCCTCGACGACCCGCTCAGCGCCCTCGACGTGCACGTGGCAACTGCGGTCTTTCACGAGTGCATTCGCGGCCTCCTTGGGGGCAAGACGACGGTTCTGGTGCTCAACAGCCATTACCATTTTCTGCCGCTCGCCGATCGTGTGCTGCTCATGGACAACGGGTCGATCGTCGGCGACGGCACGTACGAGTCGCTCAAGTCGACGTTCCCGCATCTGATGAACTTCACCGAATCGGGCTCGTCCACGGAAGACGCAGATGCCGACAAGGTCGATAGCACGGATGACGCCAAGAAGACTGCCAAGCCGATTAGCCCGAAAAAGGGCGGCGGGCTCATGGACAAGGAAGATCGCGCCAAGGGTGCCGTCTCGGCCAAGACGTACAAGACATATTTTGGCTCGAGTGGCTACAACGGGTACTGTCTCTTCATGGACTAGCCCTCGGGAAGGCTAACTGTATATCCTGCAGGGCGGTCGTTGCAGCGTCCATCATCACGTTCTTTACGGTCTCGCAGACGGCGCTGGCCATGACCGACTGGTTCATGAGCTATTGGTCCAACCACACCACCATGATGACCAAACTCTCGTCCGGGTACATCTACCTCGGGTGCGCGGTTGTCTCGGTCTTCCTCGTCTACGGTCGATCTCTGTACGTGCTCATGGTTGCAATCAAGTGCTCGCAGTCGCTCCATGCGATGCTGCTGCACAAGGTCATTGGCGCGCCCGTCCCGACCTTCTTTGACGTGACGCCCATGGGTCGTATCCTCAACCGGTTCTCGAGCGACTTGGACCAAACCGACTCGCAGCTGCCGTACTTTGGTCTGTTGCTTCTGCAGTTTCTCTTCCAGATCGTGGCGGTCCTCATCGTGTGCGTCATCTCGACGCCGTGGATTCTCGTGGTCTACGCGCCGCTCGCCTTCCTCTTTTACAAGGTGCAGCAGTACTACAACAAGACGTCGGGCGAGCTCAAGCGGCTCGAGAGCATCAGCCGCACACCGGTCGTGACCTTGGTCTCAGAGACGCTCAGCGGTCTCTCGACCATCCGCGCGTTCAACATGACCGAGAGCTTCCTAACGAAGCAGCGAGCAGCGATTGACCACTACGTAAGCTTCTCGTTCTTGTTTCAGTGCTCGGCCCGCTGGTTCCAGATGCGTCTCGACTGGCTCAGCTCGGGTATCATCGCCGGCGTCGCCTTCATCTGCATTTTGACCAAAGCCTCGATCGGTATTGCTGCCGCCGGGCTCACGCTTACGTATGCGTCGCAGCTCTCGGGCTTCTTGTCCAACATGTCCAAGATGATGAACACCGTCGAGAATCTCATGACGTCGGTCGAGCGCCTCAGCGCCTACGAGGCCTTGCCTAGTGAAGATGATACGACCGTGGATCACGCCACTGTCGACGCGTCGTGGCCGGCGCAGGGTGTCATCACCTTTGGCGACTACTCGATGCGGTACCGCGAACACCTCGACCTCGTCCTCAACCAAGTGTCGTTCTCGGTGCCGTCGGGCGCCAAGGTCGGCATCTGCGGTCGCACCGGCTCCGGTAAGAGCTCGCTCATGGCCGCGCTCTTTCGCATGGTGCCGAGCGCCACCGGGTCGATTGTCATCGATGACGTCAACATCGCCAACGTGTCGGTGACGACGCTCCGGTCGCGGCTCACGATCATCCCGCAAGACCCAGTGCTCTTCTCTGGCTCGTTGCGCTTCAACTTGGATCCGTCGGGTTCGGCATCCGACGACGAGCTCTGGACGGTCCTCAAGCAAGTGCACTTGGGTGACGGCATTGCGTCGCTGGACGACGAGGTGGCCGAGCGCGGCAGCAACTTTTCCGTGGGCCAGCGCCAGCTGCTCTGCATTGCGCGCGCTTTGCTCCGGAAGAGCAAGGTGGTCGTCCTCGATGAAGCGACGGCCAACATCGACCTCGAGTCGGACAAGCGCATCCAGGCGACCATCAAGGAGTGCTTTGTCGGTATCACGATGCTCATCATCGCCCATCGGCTCGATACGATCATCGACTCGGACCTGATTCTGGTGCTCGATGCGGGTCGTGTGGTCGAGTACGACACGCCGACGGCGCTGCTGGCGATTCCGGACGGGTCGTTTGCCAAGCTCGCCGAGCAGGCGCACCTCCAGATGTAAAAAGACTCGTAACTCAGCTGAATTAAAGTCTCAATATTGTTTCGATCGACGCTTCACTTTTCATTAGCGCAAAGGGTAGAGATGCAAAGCTCTGGCCTTGACGGCTACATCGAGTTTGTATTCATTTGAATGGGATCGGAGCCACCCGAATAACCTAAGCCCGTAAACTGGGTCAATGAAGGTCCCTCGATACTAGATACGTGGTCTGAAGGTGCTTGCTCGCTGTAAACACGTCAACATGTTAATATCTTGTCCTCTTGCTCAAAGTTGATTGCTCCAATTGCCTGTCGGCGGTCTCGAAGCTTGGTGGTTGCCGTCGGTCAACGGCCATTAATGGATTAATTAACGGTTTGGCGTTTGTTTTCGGAAACGACGGGTTTCTCAAAGACACCGAGTGGCACCATGATGGACGTCGGTAGCATCCAGGACGACATGATCCGCGAGCTCATGGTGTTCATTGCGAGCGCCGAGTTCCAAGCGGCGTTCGAGGATTTTTTCCTCTCGCACGCGCTCACGTTTTCCGACGAAGAGGAGCACAGGCTCGAGTACACGGCCATCTTTCACAAGTTCCAGACGCTCTTCGAAGACCACATGCAGCGTACGACGCTTCCTTGACCGATGCATGAAACCTCATTCATGCCAGGGTTCTACGAGGCGCACAACATCACCGAGGCAGACTTTGGCAAGCGCTGTCGGGCGGTTCGTTGTCACCTGTCAAGTCTATGAGGCGTTCAGCGGCGCGTAGGCGGTCAAGGCGGACCCCAAGGCGAGTCAGTACCTCGACATTGTCCTCGCATCCATGGACTACCAAGCCTTCTTCAACTTGATGAAGTTTATGCGCAAGCGGGCGGCGACCGAGACGAAGGGCAAGCGCAAATTTCAAGCCGATGCCAAGGACGATGCGAAAAGTGCCGATACTAAAGCCAGCGCCAAAGACACGTCCGACGCCAAGACACAGGCGGACGACGAGGCCAAGGGCCAGAGCAAATAGACAACTTGTATATGCAAGAATGATTATACAAGAACGCATGCTTAGCGCGTCTCTTCCATGCCCGTCTTGACGATGTAAAAGAGCGCGTGGATGTTGTTGGCCTTGATGGCCTTTCGGCAAGCGACGACGACGCTCGACTTGGCCTGGCCGACGCGAAGCCGCGCAGCGAGCTGGATCATGTTGTTGACCTCCTTGAGTGCATCCAAGAGCGCTTGATGGTTGGTGCTGCGCTTTGTATATTCGCCGAGGAGCTGGTTGTTTAGGGTAAAGAGCTCGGCGTAGTAGCTGCGCATGCGACCCCTAATCGCCGAAACCACTAAATCACATCGTCTTGGTTTGTCAAGTACATGTCGTTGAGGAGACGCGCGTCTTCGGCGCGGATGACGAGGTTCTTGATTTGGTTCGAGTCGTCGGCCATTTCGCCCGTGAGCTTGAGCCGGATGCTGTTGCAGTCATCGACCTAGACGAACAAATGCTGTCGGGAAAGAGACAAACAGGAGCTCTTTACCCGCACAAGGAGGTCTCGAAACTCGGCCATTTGCTTGGGAAAGTCTGCAATCGACGCCAGCTCTTCAATCTACTCGCGATCCTTACTCGTCGAGTCGAAAGTGGCGGCAAACCTGGAGGTACGAGCAGAGGTCTTGGACAATCTCGGCTGCCATGGCCATGTCGTCGATATGGAGAAACGTCTACGCGAAATACGGACAAGGTTGCACCCAATAGACAGATTGTACGTCGTTGGGGGTGACAACAATCGCGAGGTCCATCTTGCCGCCAATGTGACGAAAGTACAAGTCGTGGTTGGGGCTCTCTTCGATCGGGTCCGAGAGCAGGAAAGCCGACTTGACCCACGCGCCAAACTATACAGGTTGTCTATAACGATGCAATAGTACATTGGTCAACGTCACTTGTTGTTGCATCTTGGAGAGCGTGCGAAACCTAACGACGCCGAGCGGGCGGTCCTTGGGCGGCGGCTTGAGCAGCGAAAACACGCCAAACTTGGGCAGCTGAAAGTGCTCTTCAAACACATGGAAGACAGACGCATTGCCACGCGTGCCCACCTAACGATGACAATACTGTCATGTCGTTTGTAGACTGAAAACGTACCAGCACTTTAAAGTGCAATTTGGCCGCAGCTGTCTTTTGGACCGACCGAATCTGCACCGTGGCCGTCGGACTCGGCGTCGCTGGCCGCAGCACGAGCGACTCGCCATCAAAGATACCAGCATCATAGTCGTACACCACGACCATCTATGCATTATTTCCAGCGACCAATGCATAGAAATGCACTCGATCTACCTTGATGACATTTTCCGTGTCGGTCGAGACCGCCAGCTCGATGCTCGCGCTCGCCATGGACGCCGATGCCTTGATCGTGATGCTACTGGCCATTCTGAGCTTAAAGTTGCATCGCAATACTCACCGCGTCGCGGGGGCGAGGCGTGCGTTCGTGCTCTTTGTCGTCTTGGCGACAGCGTTCTCAAACGCCTTGAGCTCCGCGGCCAAATTGGCTTTGGATTTGATGAGTTCCTGGACTTCCTTTTCTTCGGCCGAGACGTGGTCGGGCATGAGCGCGCTGGCCGCGACGGCGTTGGCCCCCATGCCACCTGCAAAGAGGTACCCGCGGATCTACCATCGATCGAAAGTGCATGCTATAGTAACACTATTTGTACCTCGCCGTCCTGGGCGCAACACAGCACTTCTTCTTGGCCACGCGTGCAATAATCGGCGGTCAAGACGGCCGCAATCGGCGCTGCAAACGTATCGCGGTACACGACTTCGCCGTTCGTGAGGTTGCGCGCTTCAAAGCGGCCGTTGCTCCAGCCAATCACAATCTACACACGTGGCGTCACGACAAGACAACATTCGAAACGGAATACCTCCTTGTCGCCGTCGCCGTTGATGTCAAAGGCGTTGATGGACGTCGGAACGTTCTTGCTCTTGACGCGCCAGACGCGGTGCTTGCCCTTGTAGACGCCGACAGTACCGTTCTCAAGGGCATACCCAAAGAGGTGTTTGTCGATCGCGCACAAGTCGACGATGCGACTCGACTCGTGGCACTCGCAGACAACGTCTTCTTGATGGAACGCGCGAATCTCAAAGTCGTCCGACCCAACGACAAGCTCGTCCTTGCCACTGCCCGAGACGTCGCAGATCGTCATCGCTGTCACGTTGTCGCCTGTGACCGTCCAGAAAAGCTCCGTGCCCTCCTTGTCAAAGCCCTAGCGCCACACTCGTTATAGACAATGATTCGGAGAAGATTTTATACCTGGATCGAGCAGTTGCCGCCGACGATGACCATGCGCGATGGGATCGTCGGAAGCGAGCCAAACAGCATGGTGTTGACGCCATCTGGCACGTCCTTGTAGAACGTGTCCGAGTTTTTCTCGACGTTGTAGCCGAGTATGTTGGCCTGTGTGCCCACGATGAGCGTGTCGCCGTCGTCATTGTCCTTGAACTTGCCGACGCTCAACGCCGAAATTTGCCGATTGATGTTGAGGAACCGAACACTTGGCGCCGACTCGGTCTCGTTGGGCTCGTGTGGACTGTGGAGGAAGACCTTGCCCGAGCTCGTCGCGCAGGTCAGCGACGGGTGCGTCCCATCAAACTTGCCGACTTTGGCCAAGCGCGCCAAAATCGCTTGCTGCATGTGCAGCTTGAACGACGGCAGCATCGTCGTCGTCGTCGCCAACGGTCGTCTGTGCACTGCGATCTTTTGCGAAAGATTCCAACACACACTATTTCCGTGTAGAAAGGCAAATTCGAATGTCCACTCGTCCTCGGCGTCACCAGCGCAAACAGGCGCTTCCAGTCGCCCGAAATCGCTTGCCTGCCACGACCACTGGCCTCCTCACGCCAAGCCCAGTTCTGGCACGAGTTGCTTTGTATCATGGTACTCGCTCGTACTGTACTTTGGTGCCATGACAAAGAAAGCTTTCGTTGAAAATTTCTCAATTTATACCTTGACTCTAGACACGAGGCTGCGCGCTGCGCAAGACGCGGCGCGTGAAGAAGGCACCGTCGGCATGGCCAAACCCCGAGAGCGGCGAGAAGTCAAAGGTGGCCGCGTTTTCAAATTCCGACTCGTTGACGTCGATCCAGCCGCACTCGATCGCATCAATGAAGCGCTCCATGGTTTCGTCGCCGTCCTTTCCGTAGACGTACGTCTTGAGGCGCGCGGGCGCCGCGTTCGCTTCCGCAATCACATCGGAAATTGTCTGGAACGTGCGCAGGAGTGCGACGGGGCCAAAAAGCTCGGCCTGGACACTCGAGTCGACGCCTTCGAGGAGCATTGGCGCCATGTAGTAGCCGGTCTCGGGCAGCTTGACGGCTCTCGCTGCAATTGCGACCGTCTCTGGGAGCTCCAGCAACTTGGCCACGGTGGCGCGGAGGGTCGTTGCGATGCACATGTTGAGCGCGCCCATCGTGTTGGTCTCGTCGCGCGGGTCGCCGATCGCGAACGTCGATGCTTGGCGTACAAACGCTTCCACAAACGCGTCGCGGAGACTGGCGTGGACGAGGACGTTCGAGGCGCCGCAGCAGTACTGGCCGTTGATGCACGAAAAGGTCTTGAGAAGACCAGCCACCGCAGCGTCCACGTCAGCGCCGGGCAGCACCACAAAGGGATTGACGCCGCCAAGCTCGAGCGCATATGGCTTGAGCGTCGGCGCACAGAGCGCTGCGATCGCAAGCCCGACGCGGGTCGAGCCTGTAAAGCACACGCCTTTCGTGAGCGGTGACGCAATGAGCTGCGTCGCGACGGCCGCACCGCCGTGGACGATCTGAATCAGCCCGCGGGGCAAGTCGGCCGCGAGGACTGCGTCGAGAAAGACGTTGAACGCGTGCGGACTGTACGGCGACGGCTTGACGAGCACCGGACAGCCAAAGTAGATGGCCGAGAGAATTTGAATCAACGACGACCCGAGGGGTGCGTTCGTAGGCGCGAGGACGACGATAGGACCCAGCGGAACGGCTTTGAGTGCGCCTTTGCCAGACGCGAGCGGTGTCCATACATCGACGTTCTTCGCTTCATCTTTGAGGCTCGGGCTGCGCAGCTGCGAAGGATCCCGCAGGACGCTCGGGCCGTAGTTGGAGATGGCGTTGCGGTCGCCGACATCGATCATTTCGGCGACCCGAATGTCTTCGTGGCGCGTCTCGAGCTCGCTGGCAAAGCGCTCAAACACGACGTCGCGCTCGGGACTACATAGGAGGCGACTCCAGGCGCCGGACGTGTACAGGGCGTCCGCGGCGGCGAGCGCGGCATCAACGTCGGAGGCTGCGGTGGCGACAAGCGGCGTCAAGATGGCGCCGGTCGCCGCGTCTTGGGTCGACGGAAACAAGGCGGCTTCGGCAAAGGCCGTCACTGTCGGCGTGACGCGCTCGTTGTCGATGAGGTTGTCGAGCGTGCGGACGTAAGCGGGATGTGTGGTCGTCATGGCGAAATGGGAATTGAAAATCGAAGCTGGGACGCTGCCACGTGGGTGGGACGCCACCATCTGGTAGTGGTCATCAGGCAAATTGTGTCTAATCATTGCATCTGGAGGTGCCATGTTTAGACACAAATATTCTTCGCCGCTCGCTGGACCAGATTCTGGACTGACCCATTGATGAGGCACAAGCACTCGCAGATCCGCAGAAGCCACCGACACACGCCTCTCCTCTGGCTTCAGCACAGTATCTTGCTCGTTCACCAATGCTCGTTCGGGCCGAGATGTCGGCTTCACGTGGGACAGTACGCGCTTCAATCACACGTTCCTTCGACCAAGTACACACAGGCTCCTCGACCGGTTTGAGGTGATCCAGAGCAATGCACCACATCCAGGACAAGCAATTGTGTTGATGATAATGTACAAAATATACAACTCCTAGTCGAGCTCGTACATGACGTCGTTGGTGAAGCGACTAATGAGCGCGTCCTTGGTCGATGGCGCCATCGTTGCCACCACTGCTTCCGAGGCGTGGCCAGGTGTCTCTGCCTTGCCAACACGCAGGACGACAAGCATGTTGTCGTCGGCCACCGACGCGACGCTGCACTGTCCAGGCTCGAGCGGCGCGTCGTCAAAGTCTTGGATCAAGCAGTACGACTGCGCCTCACGCAGCGTGCGGAATCGAAGCGTCATGCGCGACGGCGTAAACTCTGTCTCGACGCTCAATGGATCGACCGACGCCACGTCCACGAGCAGAGAAATCGACGCGCCGTGGTCACTTGTCGACGTCCGGAACGGCGGCGTGCGAACGCGAAGCGCGCCGAACTTGGTGCACATGATGGCCATGTTGGTCGTCGCAATGTCATGCGTCCACTCGGCAGTATTGGCGACCGAAAAGGACCATTCAAACCAAAGACCGTCGGCCGCACGGAAGTGAAGGCGCGCGACGTTGGCTTCTTCAACGATCGAGACGGTCGCCGCTTCGATACCGCATACGTGCACAATGTACGAGACATGCGACTCGGTCTCTTGCGCTGTGACTCTGGGTGTCTTGTATGTAATCCTACGCGATTGCTGTAAGAATGCATCAAAAGCGTCAAGGTTGTCGCTAACCGAGGCTTGTCGTGGAGCGCCATGGCCGCGAATTCACGGTACATGGCAAATTCATCCGTGGGCGGAAGCTTTGGCGTCGCTGCCTCGATGCCAGGCGAGGGCGAGACGGTTGCTGCGACGGTAGTCGTAGCTTCGACAGCGTCGTATTGGACCGTCTTGGCTGTTTGAGTGTCGGAATTGACGTCGTCAGCAGTCGCTTCCTCGCACGTCTCTTCTACGCGTGGCGTCCTACAGGATAAATGATGTCGAAAGCGAGCGACATGTAGAAGGAGGTACAATGTCGGCGGCCGAGGAGCCTCGGGAATGACCGGTAGCGTCACGATGAGCTTCTTAGTCGCCTTGTCAAACTTGGCGACGCCCTTGGCTTCCACGACCGGAAAAGGTAGATCGATGCAGAGCGGCGCATACGCCGTGGACTCGACCTTGACTTGGGTGGCCGAGACGTCCAGATCGATGCCTGCCGCTGACGTCTACCATGATAGCGGCATTTCATGAGTTGGACTATTGCACAAGGCGAGAGGACAGCGTACGTGGGTCGGGAGGTCCATTTTGAGCACGAGTTCGCGCGGCCGGAAGAGCTTCTTCTCGCCGTTTTCCATGTGGTCGGCCATGTCAAATTGCCCGCGCTGGACAATCTGAAACACAATTGCGGGTCTAGACGCGTTGAGTTTCAGATGATGTTTTGAGATGCTATGAGTTGTAATAGCGTACTTGGCAGCAACAATTGCTGGCTTGGTCTCGGTCGTTGCCGGTGTCGGAGACGGTGGAGTGGTCGGCTTGGTCGATGACGGCTTTGTGTCGGGCTTGGTGTTGGCCTTCGCACTCGTCGTCGTAGGCGCCTTGGCCCGAGGCGCTGCTGCTGGGCTATTCAACTTGGCAGCGCTCGTACTCGGTGCACTAGAAACACAGTTGACAGCGTAAGTACGACCGCTCTCATATCGGAATCGAAGTACCTCTCGGTGGGAGCCTTGGGCGTCGAGATGCACATTGTAATCGGGGATCCCGTCTTGTACTGCACGCCCTTCAAGATGTGATAGTCTACGCAACTATGAGCTTAGGGACGTTGACGGGTAGGACGTGCGTACCGCGAGAGACATGGCCGTCGTTTGGGTTCGTCTTGGAGAGCGCAAGGTCGACGCCATCCAACGCCGTACCGATGAGCATCTTGAGGAACGCGGGGCTGTCACGGCCGCGCGCCAGCGTCTGCGGATGGTAGCACACGTCAAAGGTCATGACCGCCTTGCCACCTGCCTCGCCATCGTTATTGCCGTATTCCGCTACATGGAAGCGTACCTTTGTCGTGCTCCATGCGCTGCGGGCCCACGCAGTATGGGAGGTTCCAGGACGTGCCAGCGGCGACCTGTGGCGACGGCGCGACCTTGGTGCTCGACGGCGGCTGAATCTTGTCGGACGAGCAGATATTGACAAAGAGCTTGCGCGCCTCGAGCTTGGTCTTGAGCACAAAACCCGGCGTCGGCAGCACGAGCTGCTTGTCGGTTGGGACCTTGTTGTCGTTCTCGAGCTGGCGCAGGTACGCCTCCTGCTCGGCGCGGTGCGTCGGGTCCGAGATCTCGAGCATGTACTCGTTGAGGAGCGACCGGAACTCCGGGTCCTTCATCGCCTTGACGAAGCTCTGCTGCTCGTCCGGCGTCATGTCAAACTTGTCGGCGCGGGCCTTGTCGGCGGCCGCGGCCGCGAACGCCGCTTCGAGCGGACTCGGATCTTCACCAGCCATGGGCAAATCGAAAGTCCACTGCGCCTTCGATGGATGTTATTTAACACCTTCCGCTCGCTTTCTTTCAAAAGCATTATGTAACGCAGCGATGGCACGACAATAGTGTGCGTATTTTTAGGTGCGATGAACCTTGAGGAGCGCTTGGCCCATCTGCAGTGGCGCAAGGTCTGCAACGAGAGCCAGATCCAGGGGGCGCTCAAGCACACCAAGCAGCTCGTCGACCGGGACACGCTTCTGAACGCAACCGAGTCCAAAGATGCGTCCAAGTGGGTTCGCCGGGTCGTGCAAACCGAGCTCGCCAAACCGCTCGAGGTAGTCGCAATGGATAGTGTAGCGTATGTATCCAAGATGATTCGCTTGGCTAGATTTCGCTCGAGCAGTACGAGCAAATTTTGCGCGAGAACGACGCCGAGAGCGCAGCGCTGGAGCGAGCGAGTGCGCTGCATGCCACGAGCGTGGCGGTGATCCAAGCGAAAATGAAATTACGAGAAGAGCATGCTAAGCGACTGCGTCAGTACCGCAAGCACAAGCAGCTGCTTCTCAAGCAAGACGACGCAGCAGGTAGCCCCGATCGCCATCACCACCATCACCACAAGGACAACAACGACCCGCCGTCGAACAGAGGCAAGCACTAGCATACATACACTCTTGATTGAATCATGACACTCAATTGAGAGATCAATTGAGAGATTATTGCTCACTTGAACGTCACGAGCTCAATGTCAAAGACGAGGTTGGTGTTGGGTGGCACTGTACTGTCCATACCAAATTGAGTTGAGAAACA